CCCCAAAACCCCAAAACCCCAAAACCCCGACCTCAAGAATAACTACGAAATAAGTGAGTAATTATTCAATGATTAGTTAATGAATATATCTTTGTGAGGTCATTATCTATAAATAATAAATTAAATGCTCTCAAAAATTAGCAGAGGAATCTCTCAATCAAACAGAAAATTCTCAACCATTGCTTAACTCAAGGCCAGAGAAATTCTTGACTCTAGAGGAAACCCAACTATCGAAGCTGATGTTATTACCTCTACAGGTCATGTATTCAGAGCCGCAGTTCCATCAGGTGCTTCCACTGGTATTTATGAGGCTTTAGAACTAAGAGATAAGGATGAGAAAAGATACCTCGGCAAGGGAGTCCTCCATGCAGTCGATAATGTTCATAAAATCCTTAGCCCAGCACTTAAGGGTCTTAATGTTGTTGATCAAAGCAAGATTGATAAATTGATGGTAGAATAATTAGATGGCACTTAAAACGAATGGGGATGGTGCAAGCAAAAGGTAGGAGCTAATGCCATTCTTGCCGTATCACTCGCTCTTGCTAGAGCTGGTGCTCATGACAAAAAAATTCCTCTCTATCACTACTTAGCTGAGCTCGCTGGTAAGAGAACTGATAAGTTTGTAACCCCAGTCCCATCACTCAATATCATTAATGGAGGTGCTCATGCTGGAAACAGTCTTGAAATTCAAGAATTCATGATCATGCCAACTGGAGCCTCTAGCTTCAGAGAAGCTATGAGAATCGGAGCTGAAACTTATCACCATCTCTCCAAGCTCTTGAAGAAGAAGTACGGTAAATCTGCTTCAAACGTTGGAGATGAAGGTGGATTCGGTGCACCCCAAATTAAGGACGAAAATGAGACTCTTGAACTCATCCTTGAAGCCATCTAAAGTGCTGGTCATACTGGCAAGATCGATATTGCCTTAGATGCTGCTGCCTCTGAATTCTTTGATGGCAAGACCGGTAACTACAACCTCAGCCAAAAGACTGGAAAGAATGACAGAATCCTCACCCCTGATCAACTCATTGATCTTTATGCAAATCTTGCTTCTCACTATCCCATTAAGTCCATTGAGGATCCATTCGATCAAGATGATTTCTCATCTTATCAAAAATTAACTAAGAGAATCGGAGATAAAATCCAAATTGTTGGAGATGATCTTTTAGTCACTAACCCAAAGAGAGTTCAATCTGGTATTGATGGTAAATGGGTCAACGCCCTACTCTTAAAGGTCAACCAAATTGGTTCAGTTACTGAGTCAATTGAAGCCAGTAACATGTCACAAAGAGCCGGTTGGGGAGTCATGGTTTCTCACAGAAGTGGTGAAACTGAAGATAACTTCATTGGAGATCTAGTTGTTGGTCTAGGAACTGGAGAAATTAAGAGTGGAGCTCCATGCAGAAGTGACAGACTCGCCAAGTACAACCAAATCATGAGAATTGAGGAGGAACTCGGCAACAGAGCTGTCTATGCTGGCCACCACTTCAGAGATACCTCAAAGCTACTTTGAGCATTATTTAATTTTATTATATTCCACTAAGTTTTTGGATCATTGATGTATTCATATCTTGTTAAAGAAGCAAAATAATCTGCCTTGGGGTTTTGGGGTTTTGGGGTTTTGGGG